GTGAGGTTGGCCCAGGATCGGACATTGTTTTGTTCTGCTGTGCATGGGGTCACTATGAGTCGGTTCCGACTTGATGGCACCTGACAACAACAACATTTGTTGGTCCAGTTGTGAGGACTTTTGTTTTCTTTACATTGCAGTGCAACCCATAGTGATGTCTGTAGTCCCTGATCTTTATCAGTAAGTATTGTAGGTCCTCTTAGCTTCCAGCAAGCAAAGTTGCATCATCTGCATATTGTAGACTGTTAATAAAATCTTCCTTCAATCCTAATGCCACGTTCTTCATGTACTCCATCTTCTCAGATTATTTACTCAGCATACAGACTGTTTAAGTATGGCAAAAGCATACAGCCCTGGTACACACCTTTCCTAATTTTAAGCCATTTAAAATCCCTTGTTCTATTCGAATAACTGCCTCTTGGTCTAGGTACTCCTTGTATGCTTTGCCACGAATATTTTCAACAACAGCAATGAAAGAAACAAATTACTGAAAAAAGGAGCACAGTTCTCGACTTTGACACACCTGGTAATGCCAGGTGTTAGGACTAACTCAGTGGTTACTGGCAGGCTAGTTTCAACTGATTTCGGTTTTGGAAGGAAATCACAAGGAATAATAAATTGAGTTTAAAAAATAGATGAGTCGTGGAGTAATGCCAGATTAGATTAAGCGACTGTTTTCCTGAGTGCAGCTGAGATGTGGGTCAGCTGGAGGCTTAATTTCCAAGTCATTCTGAATTGTAGCATCCTACAGGCTGCTAGCTTTTCTTCCATAAACATTTAAAATATATGTTATCTCAAAATCTGGGTTCGAATGTTAAAAGAATCTTTATCTTCTTTGTAAAACTAATTATTTGAGATGTTGATTAAGGAAACCTGATGGTTTGTAGGATAAAAATGGGACTGCTAACCATAAGATCAGCAGTCCACATCCACCATCCACATCAAAGCAGAAAGAAGAGGCTGTGGGCTCCTCTAAATATTCACAGCCTTGGAAACCCTACACAGGGTCGCTGTGAGTGGGAAGTGAACCTGCAGCAGTGATTTTTTTTTTTTTTTTTTGTGTGTGTGTGTGTGTGTGAGAGAGAGAGAGAGAGAGAGAGAGAGAGAGAGAGAGAGACTGAGTAGACCATTAGTTTTCCTATCATTACTGTCGGTGTTCTTCATGGCTATGTGTTTCTTACCTTATTTAAAACAGAACAAGTTAGACAGACTCTTACAGCATTTAAAACTTTCACAAACAGATGAATTTGATGGTCCTATAATCCCTGTGAGGGTGGGAGTCCTACGTATGTTTCATGTCATGTCACTGGACACACCAATGCTTCAGTGTCTGTTTTTAATAAGCAGAGAGATCAGAGAGGTTTGAGGATGAATCTTTTGGGACAAGCTCCAAGATCACTGTACAGAAATTAGATGTCAGCTTTGCCTTCACACCTGTCTACAGATGATTCTGACTTTTCCATGCTGCCTGAATCTGTATGAGAACAGTTTAATATTGATTTCCTTCAATTCTCATGTTGCTCTGTAGATGACATGCCAACATTTGCCTCAGCATTTTAAGCTCCTATGAAAAGTTGCCTGTGACAAGTTTCCTTGACTCAAAAGATGTAACTAGCAAGCACTCTTCACAATGGTCAACAACCATCAGACCCAGGCCATGTTTTCTCCCCAAGATTGGCCACACTGCCTTGGCTTCCAAAACAGGTGCCATCGATAATGAGGTGTTGGCCCAATTTGTCACTTACCTTGATTTTGATTTTTCTTAAGACCATAAAAGATGTTGGAAAATAATAGAAGGAACATGCAGTCACCCAAAAGTACCCTTTAAGTAAAAACAGGTGTTCATGCACCAGGCATTCAAGGCATTTTCTTCACAGAAGAGACCACCTGCATAATTGTGGGGGCACCCTGAGTTTGGTCAACCATGCAGTGACCCTAGCTCCTGGGTCCAGGTGACTCCTGGTGAGCCTGGGATGGACTCGTGGGCACTCTTCACTCCTTCAGAGTCCTGGAGCACACACTTGAACCTCATTTGCCCAGATTCCTTACTCATGACCCGAGTTGCTCCCAGAACCTTTGTGGTTGGTTGGTCTCACTTGAATGCCCATGCGCAGAGCGGCAAAACTGCTCTATCATGAGTCTGACAGAGCTGACTCAGTATTAGCTAACTCAGCATGTGTGGGTTTTCTTAGCTCAGTTACTGTAAGTAACGAGAATCCATGACCAGGTTACTACTCATATAGGTTACTACCATGAGGG